CCTGACTTAGAAGGGAGAGAACTGAAGCTCATACAAATTAAGTCACTTGTCCAAGGTCACATAGTGGATCAATCACCTTTGCTTTTTTTTTAAACCTTACCTCATTTCCAGGAAGATGCCTCTGAGGAAGGTAAATGTATTGCTGTTTTGGGGGGGCCATTTATCAAGGGTGATTTTCTTTTCACTTGAAACTTCCATCCTCCCTGAACAAGTAAAATGCTTGCAAGAGAGAGGTTGGAGGACAGACCTGCTTTTCGAAGGGGTGGTGTGGGGATATGTGGAGTGAGAAGGGGGTGCTAGTTCTCCTAAAATAGATTTTAAAAAATAAAAGTAAGCTTGTGAATTTCAATGATCCCATTTCAGTTGGCAAAGCACTCCTCCTCCTAGGAAGGAAGAGCATTTTCTTCTTAAAGTAGTACCCTCCATCCTAGGGAGACATTTTCCAAGATTCCCAGTGGATGTCTGAAATCACACATAGTTCCAAATCCTATATTTATTATTTTTTTCCTGTACCTACATACTTAGGATGAAGTTTAACTTGCAAATTAGGAACACTAAGAGATTAATAACAACAATAATAAAATGGAACAATTATAACAATATACTGTATATGCTGTAATAAAATTGCCAACAGTGCTACTCCTGCACTTTGGGGCCATTATTAAGTAAAATAAGGGTTATTTGAACTAAGCATTGTGATACCACCACAGTCAATCTGAAAACCAAGACAGCCACTAAATGACTAGCAGGCAGGTAGCATATACAGCATGGATACAATGGCTGTATGATTCATGGCTGATATGATTCATGAATTCATGAATGAGTCATGGCTCAGGTGGAGCAGAATGAAACAGCACCAGATTTCTCTCTGTTTATATTTATGCTTTCTCTGTATGGCAACATATAGAGAAGGAGATCTACACTAGAATCCACATCAAGAAGGATGGGCTTGTCCTGGAGGCTTGGCTGGAGAGGAGCTGGTTCTTTTGAGCTTATCCAGTTGTGTCTTCTGCCTGCTGGGGCCTCTTACTCTGCCTTTTCAGAATGAGGCTGTGTGTGAGAGAGAGGAAGAAAGTGCTGCTGAAAGGGTTTCTGCTCTTCTGACACTAAGCTGGGAAGATTCCCAGCTCTGTTCACCTCATTGAAAGGGAGAGCCGGACTCCAGCAGGTATCCTGGAGTAAAGACAACAATCAACCCCAAACATATCCTAGCACCAGATCAGTAGCTCAGATCCCCACCACAGGAGAGATTTTCTCCTACCCAGCTTTCTGATGGAGGAAGCCTCTGTGTGTGTATGTGTTCTCCACTGATTTATATGTATTGTGATCTCTAGATGCAAGAGGAAGTGTGGGTTAGGGGAAGGGAATTGTCTTTGATCAGAGGCCTGATTAGAACAAGGACCTAATCAGCACTATTTATGAAGGTGCTTTGTGCGGGAATTTGTGTTAAGTGATGGGAGGGTATTATGAGAAGCCGGGAGGAAGCAAAGGCCACATTGAAATTTAAAGCCCCAGGGACCAAAGAGATGTTAGAACTTTGAGACAACTTTGTCAGACATGTTTCGCTGCAGGTCTCTGGTCTAAGGGTATCCCAGGGTGTAGAGGGCAATAGGAGCAAGAACACAGCAGACCCTTCAGATCACACAGCCCACCTGACTCTGACATTGTGGGTCCTGCATGCTGACAGGCCACTTAGAAGTCAGAGAGTTACAAAGTATCTCTCAGGCCAGTTTTCCTTTCTCCTTCCATGTTGTGGGGGCTTCATGCTATAGGAGCTTCATTATTACAGTGGAATGAATTTTAATTTGAAATAGGGAGACCTTAGATAAGTTATATGACCTTTTATAACCTGGATTTTCTTATATCTGAAATGAAGGCTGGTAACAGCCCTTTGACCATTTCATAGGACTCTAGGGTCCAATGTGGCTTTGCAGAGTGCTTTGTAAATGCAGAGGTGTGTTTTGTTGCCATTACTGGGAGCTTACTCACCCGTTTAATGGTGGAGTGGAGAGGCAGCCAAAGTCGATATAGAAGTTACTTCCCCAATGGTCACATCAGGAAGTTAGTTCTCCCTTGCATTCAAGTCACTACAGTGACATTATTTAAAACCTGATTTGTATGTCCCCCCCCCCTTTATGAACTGGCTATTAACCTACTGAGCTGCATCCTCTCCAGTCTTTTGAAAATTTTGAGACAGGGTCTCGCTAATTTTCCCATGCTGGCCTTCAACTTGCCATCTTCCTGCGTTAGCCTCCTGAGTCACTGGGATTACAGGCCAGTGCCACCATGCCCAGCTCAATTCGGTATCTTTAGCATAAAAAACTCCAGAATGGTAGAGTGCCTGGGGCTATGCATGGCAGAAATGCCTTGATTTAGTAGATACTGGTTCGCTGGTATATTCTGCCTATACCAATGAGATCTGGACTTGAAAAAGCCCTTTAAACCCACAACTTGGTGGGGCTGGAGTAGTGGCTCAGTGGCAGAGCACTTGCCTTGCAAGTGTGAGGCACTGGGTTCGATCTTAGCACCACATAAAAACAAAGGCATTGAATCCATACATAACTAAAAATAAAAAATAGAAAAAACCCCCACAACTTGACTGCAATATCTGAGAATTCCTTGGCCTTTTCCAGGGTGTGCTGAAGAGGCCAGGAAGTAGGCTCTGGTCCCTTTCTGTCATTCTGGCACCAGAAACCCAACAATTGTGGCTTTCCAGCGTGGGGTTGGGGAAGGTGCTGCTTTTAGGGAGGGTGCCATAAGGGTAGTGGGAGATAGGAGCTGTCATTCTCATGTCCTTTATGACCCAGATTCTGCTAAAGGTAGTCCCTGGCACAGTGACCGCCAAGTGCCCCATGGGAGAAGGATGAAAGAAATGGGAATCCTCGTAAATTTTTAATCTGAAAAATAAAGAAAGTGTGAATTAGAATTAATGCAGGTATTAAATATTTAAACTTTCTGTACTCACTTTCATTTTTAACATATTCCTCCCTCAAAAGCCTCAATAACGCTTGTCAGATTTGTTCTCAAGATGTCCCTGTCTTTCTGCCTCCCCCCAGGCCCAGCCCCA